ACTTCTGGGCTCTCAATTCTGTTCCATTGATCTGTGTGTCTGTTTTTGCACCAGTACCATGCTGTTTTGGTTACTATGGCTTTGTAGTATATTTTGAAATCAGGGAGTCTGATACCTCCAGCTTTGTTCTCGTCCCTCAGGAGAGCTTTGGCTTTTGGGGGTCTTTTGTTGTTCCATATACATTTTAGGATTATTTCTTCTATTTCTCTGAAAAATTTTGCTGGAACTTTGATAGAGATTGCATTGAATCTATAGATTAGTTAAGAAAGTACGGACATTTTAACTATGTTAATTCTCCGATCTGAGAGCATGTAATATCTTTCCATTTTTTGTGTGTCTTCTTCAATTTCTTTCAACTATGTTTTATAGGTTTTGGTGTACAGATATTTTGCCTCTTTGGTTAAGTTTATTCTCAGGTATTTTACTCTTTTTGTTGCAATTGTAAATTGGATTGGCTTCTTAATTTCTCTTTCTGCTACTACTGTTAGCATATAGAAACACAAGTGATTTTGTGTGCTGACTTTGTATCCTGTGACTTGACTGTATTCATTTATTATTTCTAAAAGTTTTTTAGTGGATTCTTTAGGGTTTTCTATATATAAAATCATGTGGTACACAACAGCGGTAGATTCACTTCTTCTTTTCAAATTTGGATCCCTTTTATTTCTTTTTCTTGCCTGATTGCTCTGGCCAGGACTTCGAATACAATGTTAAATAAGAGTGGTGAAAGTCAGCATTCTTGACTGGTTCCTGTTCTTAGAGGGATAGCTTTCAATTTTTCTCCATTGAAAATGATATTCATTGTGGGTTTATCATATGTGGCCTTTAATATGTTGAGGTATTTTCCTTCTATATCCATTTTATTGAGTTTTTATCATAAATGGATGCTGCGTCTTGTCAAATGCTTTCTCTGCATCTATTGAGATGATCACGTGGTTTTTATTCTTCATTTTGTTAATGTTGTGTATCGTGTTGATTGATTTGCAGATGTTGAGACATCCCTGCATCCCCAGAATAAATAACACTTGATCATGATGTATGATCTTTTTAATGTATTGTTGTATTCAATTTGCTAGTATTTTGTTAAGGATTTTTGCATCGATGTTCATCAGTGATACTGGGCTGTAATTTCCTTTGTTTGTGTGTTGTCCTTGTCTGGTTTTGGTATCAGGATAATGTTAGCTCCATAAATGAGTTAGGAAGCTTCCCCTCCTCTTCAATTTTTTGGAAGAGTTTGAGACGGATAGGTATTAAATCTTCTTTGAAGGTTTGATAGAATTCACAAGGGAAGCCATCTGGCCCTGGGCTTTCACTTTTTGGGAGGTTTTTGATTACTGTTTTGATCTCCTTACTGGCGATTGGTCTATTTATATTCTCTACTTCTTCTTGGTTCAGTTTGGGAAGGTTTTATGATTCTAAGAATTTATCCCTTTCTTCTAGATTATTCGAATTGTTGGAATATAACTTTTCATAGTATTCTCTTTTAACCATGTGTATTTCTGAGATGTCCATCATAATTTCTCCTTTTTCATTTCTGATTTTATTTTTCTGAGCCTTCTCTCTTTTTTTCTTGGTGAGTCTAGCTAAACGTTTTCAAAGAATCAACTCCTGCTTTCATCAGTATTTTCTATTTTTTTAGTCTCTATTTTGTTTATTTATGGTCAGAATTTTAGTATTTCCTTCCTTCTGCTGATTTTAAGCTTGTTTTCTTCTTCTTTTTTCCAGTTCGTTTAGGTGCACTGTTAGATTGTTTATATGGGATTTTTCTTGTTTTTTGACATAGGCACGAATTGCTATAAACTTCCCACTTTGAACCACTTTTGCTGTATCCCATATATTTTGTCATGTCGTATTTTCATTTTCATTTGTCTCCAGGTGTTTTGTGATTTCTCCTTTGATTTCTTCATTGATGTATTCGTTGTTCCATAGCATTTTATCTCCACATTTTTGCAGCTTTTCTGATTTTCTTCCTGTAGTTGATTTCTACTTTTATACCTTGGTGATCAGAAAAGATGCTTGGTATTATGTCAATCCTCTTAAATTTATTGAGACTTATTTTGTGGCCTAATATATGATCAGTCCTGGAGAATGTCCTGTACGCATTTGAAAAGAATGTGTATTCCATGGTTTTTGGATGGAATGTTCTATATATTTCTAAGTCTGTCTGGTCTAATGTGTCATTTAAGGCCAATATTCCCTTATTGATCTGTTTGGATGATCTATCCATTGGCATATGTGAAGTGTTAGAGTCCCCCACTATTATTGTGCTACTGTCTATTTCTGCTTTTATGTCTGATAGTAATTGCTTTATAGATTTAGATGATCCTATGTTGTGAACATAGATATTTAAAAGTGTTATATCCTCTGGTTGGATTGTCCCCTTTATCATTATGTAGTGCCCTTCTTTGTCTCTTGTTATAGTTTTTGTTTTAAAGTTTATTTTGTCTGATATAAGCATAGCTATCCCTACTTTCTTCTCTTTGTCATTTGCATGGAGTATCTTTTTCCATCCTTTCATTTTCATTTTGTGAGTGTCTTTATGTCTGAAATGTGCTGCTTGCATGGATTTTATATATGGGTCTTGTTTTTTATCCAATTGACCGCCTTTTGATTAGACCATTTAGTCCATTGACATTTAAAGTAACTATTGATAAATGTGTGTTTATTGCCACTTTTTAATTTTTTTCTAGGTGTTTTAGTAGTTCTTCTCTGTTCCTCTCTTCTTCTCTTGCTCTCTTCTCTTGTGGTTTGATGGCTTTCTTTAGTAATATGTTTGATTTATTTCCTCTTACTTATTTGTTTATCTGTTATAAGTTTCTGGTTTGTGATTACTGTGAGGATCCTCTGTAATATTCTACATATATAGCAATCTATATTCAGATGATGGTCTCTTTAGCTTGACCTCTTTCTAAGAGCTCTACTCTTATTCCTCTCTTCCCACATTTTATGTTTTGAAATCATATCTAATCTCTTATTTTGTGCATGTCTATGTATTACCCTTTTATCATTGAAATCAGTGATTTTATTAATTTTGTCTTTTAACGTTTATATTATCTTCATAGGCGTTTGATCTTCTACCTTTATTGTATTTTTGCCTTTACCAGTGATTTTATTGCTTGTCTTGGGTTTTTTCTTTTTTTGATATTTTTCTTATCCCTATTTGTCATCTTCTCTTTCCTACTTAAATAAGTCCCTCCAAGATTTCTTGTAGAATTGGTTTCTTGGTGATAAACTCTTTTGAATTTTGTTTGTCTGGGAAACTCTTTATCTCTCCTTCCAATCTGAATGATAACCTGTCTGTATAGAGACTGTAGGTTTTTTCCTTTTAGCACTTTAAATAAGTCTTGCCACTCCTTTCTAGCTTGTAGGGTTTTGGCTGAGAAATCCACCGATAGCCTTATGGGCTTTCCTTTATATGTCACTTATTGCCTTTCTCTTGCTGCTTTTAGGATTCTCTCTTTATCTTTAGTTTTGGACATTTTAATTATAATGTGTCTTGGTGTGGGCCTGTTTGGGTTCATCTTCCTTGGTGCTCTCTGTGCTTCCTGTACTTGGATGTGTATTTCCTTCCTTCAGTTAGGAAGGTTTGCAGCTGTTATTTCTTCAAATGGATTCTGTGCCCCTTGGTCTCTCTCTTCTCTTCCTGGGACACCTATAATATGAATGTTAGTGTGCTTGATGTTGTCTCAGACTTCCCTCAGACTGTTCTCATTCTTTTTACTTCTTTTTTCTTTTGTCTGTGCAGCTTGGGGGATTTCCTCTAGTCTTTCATCCACCTCACTGATCCATTCTTCTGTATCCTCTACTCTGCTATTGAGTTCCTCTAGTGGATTTTTCATTTGCAGTACTGTATTCTTCATTTCTGATTGGTTCTTTTTTATGTTTTCCAATTCTTTGTTGACATTCTCACTGTGTTCATCCAGTATTCTCCCAATATCAGAGAGCATCCTCATGAGTTTTTGTTTGAACTCTTTCTCAGGTAGATTGCTTATTTCTATTTCATTAAGTTCTTTTTCCATGGTTTTTCTCTGTTCTCTTGCTTGGAATTTATTCCTTTGCCTCCTCATTGTGTTTCTTGTTCTGTGCCTATGTCTATGTATTAAGTGAGTCAGCTATGTCTCCGGATCTTGGAAAAGTGGCCTTATGGACAAGGTGCCTTTAGAGGCTAGACAGTGTGCTTCCCTCTCATCACCAGTCCAAATGTTCCAGGAGTGACTGCTTTGTGGGCTACTTGTGTTCTTCTGCTGCAGCAAGGTTGCTCTTACTGCAGGTACCCAGAGAGTCTAGGCTTTTTCTCCCTGGCCACCTGTTTGTAAGTTGCATTTGAGCAGTCACAGGACGATTAGCCACAAGGTCTAATAGCACATTCCTGTTGCAGTTTTCCTGTTAATTGGGTAGGTATCCAGTGCAGCTGGTTACTAGGCTCAGGGGCTTACTGTTGCTGTATGCCCCAGGCCTGTAAGCCTGTTGTGAGCTGTCTTAGGATTGAAGCTGAGTGGGCCTGGCCCCAGACATGGGAGTAACCAATTGTTTCAGGCTTTTGGAAGGTGAGGCTGATCCTCTTTGTGACTGTGAAGCAGAGGTCTTCTGCCACTGATAAGCCACAATCCCAAAGGTCCACACAGACAGTCAACAGTTCTGGCCCATGCACACTTCCTAACCCCCTTAAGCATACCCAGTCACCCCACTGCAGAGGTCCCCAACTCTCCACAATGTCCCTCACAGTTCAACTGATCCTCACAGAGGCCCTGCCCCACAGAGGTGGACACACTCACCTGCGTGCAGATGATCAAGGCACCCAGTGTATGCAGGCTGACAAGTAGCCTGAGGGCTTGCTGTTGTGTGGGGCTTGTCCCTAGGGCAGTCTGCCTGCCATGGCTAAACTGGATTAAATCTTCACTCTAGTGGGTGTGGCTGACCCCAAGGCTAAATGGCCAGGGGAAGAACCTCAATGGCGTCTGCCAGTGTCTGTGCCAGCATGCTCACACTAGGTCATACCAATGGCTGCCACCAACGTCCCAGTCTCTGGGGAGGTCCCACCTCCCACTGGCATGCACTCAGAGACCACCAGGTGAGTCTCTTTTCACCAAAGGACTGTGCAGCCTTCTTTCTGGTGATTTTACGTTGCTCTCTGAGATGGGTGAATTTGTGCATGGGCCCTTCAAGAGCTGCTTTTTTCCAACTTTCATCTGATAGCTTTTCTGCTGGTATTCCTCACTGCAGTTATTAGCCAAGGAAGACAAATAGTATGACACTCATCTCAGTTGTGCAGAATCTGAAGGATGCTGATAACAGTCATGAGCCCCTACCCAGGTCCCCACTCCTCCAGGGAGGGCTGCATACCTTAGGATGGCACCTGCCCAACTGGCTGTCAAACTCTGCCACTGGTGATGGTGTCTTTTTTCTCTCCAGAAGGAATTTCTGCCTCTTCTACCTTATTCAGGACTTTCCCTTGTTGTGCAGGTTCTTTTGATCACATTTTCAGTTGTCTCTCTGGGGTGATTTTTACAAGAATATTTGTCACCTGGTTGTGTTCATGGGAGGAAGTGAGTTCAGACTTTGCCTACACTGCCATATTTTCTTAAAGAGGAATCTTTGTATAAGTGGGTGTAAATGATCAGCCTTATTTTTTCAGGAATCTACACTCTCCCCAAGATGCTGTCCCTGGCACCCAAGTTTATTCCTGTAGGTCAATTTCTGTGACTCTTCTATTTTCTTTTCTGCCAAGATATGTATTCCCCATCATTTCTCTAACTTCTTTTGTATTACTCAAATTGTATTACAATTAGTAGTTTCTGAACCACTTTTCTTCTTTGATTAAAATATTGGAGATTACCTTAAATTATCCTCATTCTCCTAGAGGCTATAATGTAAACAACACAGCATGATCTAACCACAGGCAGAGACAACTGCAATGATAATATGTCAGATGCATAACCTGGAGAAGAGTGGTGATATTTGATTTTGCACAAACTTATGAACATTGCTGCTTAATGAGTCCAAATCAAAGTGTACTTTGGATTGAAGTTTGAAGAGTAGTGCATTTTCTGGTCTAGGATTCCATTCATCCAACGTAAGCAAGTGTTTGACTGACTCCTCTGAGCCAGGCACAGTGCACAGCAGACATGGCAAATCTCACCTGCTCTGTCAAGACTGGAGGTTACTCCTGCAGAGCCCTCTTCTCCTGCTGGGCTGCCATTATCTGGCTACATATATGGTAAAGCAAAGTGGTTAGGACCCAAGCCTCTTGTATAGAGAACTCCAGGTCTGACCCGTGCTCTGACACTTACTAGCTGTGTGTCAGGCCAACACCTTCTCTAGTCCATCTCCTCATGTGTACAACAGAGGTCTTGTAGTTACCTCGTGGGTTGTTGTGAGGATTCCTGAGATGATGCACATTAAGTGCTTGGTCCATTGCATGGCACACTGTGACAGCTCAGTAATGCTAGATGATAAACTACAAACAAACAAAACAACAACTAGGATACATATACACACAGAACATACACACACGCATGTACCACACACATTTGTATACCATGGCTTAGCACCACGTCTGTCATACTGTGGCTGACTGTTACAGTTTAGGTAAAGAGAGATTAAATAGATATGAAGAGACTCTTGCGAATAGTCATAGCAAATCAATTTAAATCTAAGTTTTCAATGGTGGTTCCATAGTCCCCTTGACTTATGCACTTTGGGGAGGACAGTAGCCTTATGCTTGAGCAAACAATGTCTACTGGGGGAAAAAACAAGTCCATATTTGGAGTCACTTCCTCCTCCTGCCCTTCTCCTTTAGGCTGAAGTAGCTTCCCCAAGAACGCTTTGACCACACCCACCAAAGGCAAACCAGCCAGAGGAAACCAGCACTGTACTAAGTGAACATTTGCCAGTTCAATGGTGGTTTAAATTGCTGATTTATACAAACACTGAAAGCATCTACTAGAATGTACAGCACCAAATATTGTGGGGACTCAGTTACTCTCTGTGGAGATGAGAGAATATTTTGATCATCATTGTGGTGCTCACATTACCTACTAGGTGCAGGATTTTGTGTTCTTGGATGCCTGAAAGATCCTGGTGATTTTGGCTCAACTTATTTTCCATCATAACTGAAGTAGGTGACAATGACTCTGCATAATAGAAGCAACATTATATTATCTAATGAGTGCTGAAAAAGACCAAGAAGTTCTTCAAGATCACTATTTTCATATATCATATCTATCACCCAACTCCCCTCACATCCTAGCACTGTGGGAAAGTGATGTCTGTAACCTAGAAGTCCTCTTATAAAAATCACAATTCGAATTGCAAGGCCCTCCTGAAATCTATGTTGACTACTTTTTCTCAGGGGCTGTTTTTATTCAGCCCCACGAATGGGTTCAGAGGAAAGGGTACAACTTTGGAGTGGTCATCTCTGGACACTGGGATCATGGAGATTTTTTTTTCCTGCATCATTTCTGTACCCCTCAAATTGTCTAGTAGAAAATAGGTATGTATTTTATTTTAAAATTTATTTTGAAGTACAATTCACGTTTCATAATATTAAAACTATCTCTGCCTATTATTGAGCACTTAGAGACCACGTGTGGAATTTGGTGATTAGAAAGGACTGTCATGGGCTCTGTTGTGACCACTTTTCCTCCTCTTTTCTCGTCCAACTTTTGTTGTTTTTACAAAACAAAACCGGTTTCCTTTTCTTATTCCTACCTATCCCATTTTCCAAGTTAGAGACAATTGTGATGTTAGGGTGGCTTATTGGGCTTCAAAATCTCTTTTTCCCCAAGTTGTGCAGATAGGAAGCTTTACAGATAGCAGTAAAAATGCTCATCTCTTTTTTTTGCCATTGACGGAGAACTTTCAAAATTATTTTTACTATTTTATGAAGTCACGGTGGGTTATAACATTGTGTAAATTGCAGGTGCACATCATGATATTTTGGCTTCTATATAGACTGCATTGTGTTCACCATCAAAAGTCTAGTTTCTATTTGTCACCACATATATGTGCTCCTTCACCCCTTTTGCCCTCCTCTCACCCACTTCCCTGCTGGTCACCGTCAATCTGTTCTTATCTATGTGTTTGTTTATTTTGAACATATGAGTTAAATCATGCAGTATTTGTCTTTCTCTTAATTATTTAACTTAGTATCGTACCGTTCATCCATGTTGCCATAAATATCACAATTTCATGTTTTCATGAGTGAGTAATATTCCACTGTGTAGATATACCACATCTTCCTTATCCATTCATCCATTGATGGGTACTTGGGTTACTTTCAAGTCTTGGTTATTGTGAATAATGCTGCAAAAACATACATTTGCATATATCTTTTCAGGTTGGTGTTTTCATGTTCTTTGGTTAAATACCCATAAGTGGAAGAGCTGTATCATACAGTAGTTCTATTTTTAAATTTTTGAGAAATCTCCATACTGTATCCCATAGTGGCTGCCCCAGTTTGCATTCCTTCCTGCAGTGTATGTGTTTCTTTTTCTCCACATCCTCTCCAACACTTGTTATATTTCTTCTCTTTTTAATAATTGCCATCTTCACGGGTATGGATGCTGTGATATCGCATTTAGCTTTGATTTGCATTTCCCTAATGATTAGTGACATTGAACACATTTTCATGTGCCTGTTGGCCATCTGTATGTCTTCTTTGGTTAAAAATGTCTCTTCTGGTCATCTGCCCATTTTTTGATCAGGTCGTTTGTTTTTTGGTTTTGAGTTATATGAGTTCTTTACATATTTTAGAAATTAACCCTTTATCTGATATCTAATTTGCAAGTATATTTTCTCAGATAGTGTGTTGTCTTTTCATTTTGTGGATGGTTTCTTTTACCATGAAAAAGCTTTTTAGTTTGATGAACACCCATTTGCTTACTTTTTCATTTCTTTCCCTTGCCTGAGGAGACATGGTATTCTCAAACATACTGATAAGATTGATGTCAAAGAGTGAACTGCCTATGTTTTCTTCCAGGAGTTTTATGTTTTCAGGTCTTACATTATAATCTCTAATCCATTTTGAGTTAATTTTTGTGTGTGGTGTAGAATAATGGTCTATTTTCACTCCTTTGCATGTAACTGTCCAGTTTTCCCAACACCACTTATTGAACAGACTTTGCTTTCTCCGTTATCTGTTCTTAGCTCCTGTATTGAAGATTAGCTGTCCATAGATGTGTGGTTTAATTTCTGGGCTCTCAATTCTGTTCCATCGATCTATGAGTCTATTTTTCTGCCAGTATCATGCTGTTCTGATTATTCTAGCTCTGTATCATATTTTGAATTCAGTGAGCATGACATCTCCAGCCCTATTCTTTTTTCTCGGAATAGCTTTGGTTATTTGCAGTCCTCTGTTTTTCAACTTAAATTTTAGGATTGTTTGTTCTATTTCATTGAAAAAATGTCATTGGGCTTCTGATTGGTATTGCATTGAATATATAGATTGCTTTAGGTAGTATGGAGATTTTAAGTATGTTAATTCTTCCAATACATGAGTGCAGAATGTCTTTCCATTTCTTTCTGCCTTCTTTGATTTCTTTCAATACTACCTTATAGTTTTCAGTATGTAGATCTTTCACTTCCTTGATTAACTTTATTCCTAGGTATTTTATTCCTTTTGTTGCAATTATAGATGGAATTGTATTCTTCATTTCTCTTCCTGCTAGTTCGTTGTAGTTGACTAGAAACACAACTGATTTTTGTATGCTGATTTTGTACCCTACAGTAATTTGTTGTCTTCATTTATTATTTTTAATAGTTTTTTAGTGGATTCTTCATGGTTTTCTATATATAAAATCATGTGATCCATAAGTTGTGACAGTTTTTCTTCTTCCTTTCCAATTTGGGTACCTTTTATCTTCTCTCTTGCCTAGTTGCTCTTGCAGGATTTCCAATAGATTGTTGAATGAGTGGCAAAAGTGTGCCTCATTGTCTTCCACCTGTTCTTGGATGATAGCTTTCAGGTTTTTACCATTGAGTAGGGTGTTAGTTGTGTGTTTGTTTATACAATCATTATCGTGTTGAGGTACTTTCCTTCTATACCTATTCTATTGAAAGTTTTTATCATAAATGGATGTTGGATCTTGCCAAATGCTTTCTCTGCAGCTGTTGAGATGATCACGTGATTTTTATTCTTCATTTTTTAATGTAGTGTATCACATTGATGAAACTGTGGATTTGAATTACCCTTCCATTCCTGGAGTAAATCCCACTTGATTCTGACATATAATCTTTCTAGTGTACATTTGTCTTCAATTTGCCAACACTTTGTTGAGAATTTTTGCATCTATCTTTGTCAACATATTGGCCTCAATTTTCTTTTTTGTGTCATCCTTTTTTGGTTTTGGTATTAGGGTAACGTTGATGTTGTAAAATGAGTTAGGAAGGGGCCCTTTCTCTTCAGGTTTTTGGAAAAGTTAGAGAAGAATAGGTATTAAATCCTCTTGAAATGTTTGGTAGAATTCACCTGAGAAGTCATCCACTCCTGGACTTTTGGGGAGAAGAGGTTTTTGATTGCTCTTTCAATCTTCAGTTTTGGAAGCTTGTTTGGTCTGGAAATTTACCCATTTCTTCTTGGTTATCTGATTTGTTTTCATATAGGTTTTCATAGTATTTTCCTATACTCCTGTGTATTTCTGTGGTATCTGCTGTAATTTCTCCTCTTCCATTTCAGATGTTATTTATTTGAGCCTTCTGGTTTTTTCTTATTTGTCTACTAAAGTTTGTCATTTTGTTTATTTGTTCAAAGAACCAACTCTTACTTTCATTGATCCTTTCTATCTTCTTTTTAAACTGTATTTCACTTATTTTCCACTCGTGTTATGATTACCTTCCTTCTATTGATTTTGGGCTCCATTTGTTCTTCTTTTTCTAGTTTCTTTAGGTATAATGTTAAACTGTTTGAGATTTTTGTTGTTTTTAGAAGTAAGCCTGTATTGCTATAACCTTTCCTCTTAGTATCATTTTTGCTGCATCCCATAGATTTTGGTATGTTGTGTTTCATTCTCATTTGCGTTTATGTATTTTTTATTATTTATACTTGCATTTCTTCATTGAACCCACAGTTATTCAGTAGCATATTTGTGAATTTTCCAGCTTTCTTTTCGCATTTTATTTCTAATTTCACACAATGAGGTTGGAAAAGATGCGTGACAGGAATTCAAATTTTAGTTTGAATAAAAATCTATTATTTCTTAGGGTATAGAATTCTGAATTCTTTAAATTTCTTCTTTTAGTCTGGGAAAATTAATGTCATCACAGAAATGATTTTTCATTTGGCATTGCCTAGTAAAGAATCCTTAATATTGGTAAAATGGCTTTATTTTAAATGAAAAACTTTGTTCACATTTCTCAAGGCCATTTGTGTTGGCACATTTGCATTTAAGTAACTGAAGAGTTTCTTCCTTTCAGAAATACATTCCAAAATTGCTAACGAAACAGCCCCTGTGTTTGTGAGAACAAAAGGACCTTTCCTTTGATGCAATCTCAGAAGTTTTAACACCATTGAACACCTGGAAAGAAAAAACAAGTCTTAATTGTCTGAGTGCTTTTCCTAGTGATTTAGAAAAGTAGTTGGTTGACAAGTCAGGCCTGATTTCTTATTCTTTCTCTTTTACACCAATGCTTTTCAATGATTACTGCCTTGTTATAAACCGATGTTTGGGTCAATTTATCTGAGGAAAACATAAAATATCTGATGCCACCAAACTTATATTCAAGGACTTCTGAAAGAACCCAGAAGATCAAATTGCCAGGACACAGTTATTTAACTGCTACTCACATCATGAAGCTTATGAGAAAGCTGAGTTTTTGTAGAAGCTGTAACCAGTGTGGTAACTCTGGCCAAGAAATTTGGAGAAGGGACTAAGCTCGTGGTAACTCCCTCTGGTAAGTAATATTTTTCTATTTTTACTCTAGAAATGAAAAACTGGTACATGTTTTTAGAAAAAACAATTAAGGATCACTGTTATCACATAATTGGCTTCAGCATATGAAAAGCAAGTTTGCAGCTACTAGTCACTCTTTATGAAAACAAAACTACTTCATAAATGGTTTGTTCACTTCCCTGATCATAACCATATTGAAATGATACTTTTAGAATACACACACACAAAATTATAGATTCAGGCTAGAAATTAAGATAGTTTTTGGACGATATCCATAAACCATTGGTATAAGTTATTGGTTCAAGATACTTATCTTATAGACAATCTTTTAAGTGAGAGACACTTTTATTAATTACCTCTTCTTTATATTTTCAGATAAAACATAGTACTCTTTTGTTGAAATAACAGGCAAAACCTATGTTATTGGTTTTTATCTCATTCCTAAGAGCAGTGCAAAAAACTAACTCTTAAAATAAATGGCTATAGAACATGGATAAATCTCACTTCTTATTACCCTAGCTTTTTAGAAGTAGGCTGAGATCAGTCAAAATTTATGATACCACAACTCTTCTTGTCTTGCCTAGAGATGGGCTAGTTTAAGGGAATTTGCTAGCTCAATAAGCCATTTCAGCTCTAGTGTCCACAAAAATTTTCTCCATGGTTTTATATCTTCATTTGCTCATTCATCTTGTCAGCAAGCATTCATTGAAGACAGTTTCTGTTCTGGATGCTAGAAATTAAACGGTGAACAAGACACAGATAGAACAATCCACAGCATTCCAAAGGCTTCCAGTCTAACAGATAAGTGTTCTAACTCCATCCATGTCCTTGGAGGCAGTTCTCTGCCTGACATGGCAAGAGGGAACATTGACAAGGAGTTAACGACTTATACCAATTGTGACTCCCTAAGGGTTGGAGACATTAGGTCCATTTGGTGTTTCTATATTGAAAGATTTGTGATGAAGTTTAGATATTTTATTTGTTTCCAAAAATAACCAACGAGGGAAAAAATTGCTGAACTTGTCATTTGGTCGGAGGATGGTGAACATCAAGTATCAAAATGTTTAAGTGGGCAAACTTATTCAAGAACGTCATAAGCTGGATTTGATTATTTCTAAATTCAGTCCAGTAAATTTGTCCCATCCTCATTAGCCTTAAAGATGAAATTATGCATGAATGAGGGACAATATCTCACAAGGATGTTCCTAGCCTGCTAGATCCATTGAAATGAAAGTTTTTAGAGAATTTTCACAAAGTTGATGAAGCATTGAAAAAATGAAAGAAATTACGTATTTTGGTTTCTGCAGTGATTGTGATCATGTAAATATAGAATTCGTAAATTGAAAAGCAACTTTCTGGTGTTATTTTCCCTAAATGATTATATGTTCAATGTAAATTGTAGCAATCAAATTAAAAGCTGCACAGATATAATTCATGTAGGTCCTGAAAAATGGTTTTTAGGAGAGTGTGGTGCAGGGAAAGGTGTGAACTTTGATTCTGGGTCTGTCACTTTCTGGATAAACATTCTTTGGCCAATGAATTTGGATTCATTCGTTACTGCTATGCTAAAATTATAAAAATAATACTGCCCATTATGAAAAAAAATTCAGAATACCAAAAACAAAGAAAAAATTAAAATTTTATATTGACACATCACTGTTAACATTTTGATATATTTTCTTCCACTCATTCTTTCTATGTAGCAACCATTCAAATGGATGTTGTGATGATTAAATGAAATTAAATATGGAAATTACCACCATGGTCAGTGATTAAAAAAAATCGGTTCCCCAGACTTCAAATTACCGCCATTGGAATTCTTTATGAAATAAGAAGTACAGATAAGTGTATTAATTACCACCTAGTCTACCTATTACATTAGAATAAATGGTTAGCATTTGTAGAAAACATTCAATTTCTAAGACTAACCGTCACCTGCATCTAAAAATGATTGGAATATAATAAGCATATCTCAAATATCAATAGCCTGAATATGAGGTGATCTCTCATTTTCCATTAGAAATATATGGGGAAAAAAAGAGGGCTTTTGGAAATTGAATGTATCAATTTATAATGAAATAGGTAAAAGGCAAATAGCTTACAATATTTAATTTCTTAATTAAATTATAGCTACACAGTGAAAAATTTTATTACTACAAATATCACTTGGGGAAATATTACTCTCTTTACTCTCACAATTCATTAAAAATTTTGTTGAGAGTCTTAACATGCAGCTGAAACATCTTAGAGTAAGTTTCCAGGTCATCACAGGGGCTGAGTATCTGTTTTGGGATCCCCATAGGAGGATGTTACTGGATATTTTATCTAAAGAGGCAATTATCCATTTGTAAAATAAAAGGAAAGCATTTTTAATTTATTCTGTTATTCTATAAGTGTGCAAGGAAGCATAAAGTACAGAGCTGTATTCCTGAATAATATTTACCAAGCCCATGTTCAATTTCTTTATTTTCTTTCACCAATGCTAGCTCCCAAACTGGCATTAACTGAGTTCATTTCAGGTGGAGATCTTCTCCAAGTAGTATTGTATTTTTTGATCACAGCAGAGTATTAGAAGAGCATCTTTTAATATGAGAGGTTGCACAGAACTGAAACGTAAGGTGACTCCCATTTTCTGAGGGACAGCTTCGGAAAGAAAACCTCACTTTATCTTCTGGCACTTTTGAGTCTACCTGAATTCTGCATGTTTTGTGTCGATATAACAGAGCCAGGATTTGCAAGACTATTCTTCTAACTCTCATGTCATATTGAAGTTAGACCTTACCAAACTACCAACCAGTGGGTCAGAAAAAGAAACAAGCTATAATGCACAAACCATTTGTCATTTATTTCAACAGCCTATTTCCCAAATCTATTTGAGAAGCCTAAAATCAAATACACAAGCACAGGCATACCTTGTTTTTGTACTCTGCTTTACTGCACTTCGCAGATATTGCATTTTTTAAAAATTGAAAGTTTGCAGCAACCCTGCATTGAACAAGTCCGTCCGTGCAATCTTTTGAAGAGCATTTGCTTGCTTTGATTCTTTGTGTCACATTTTGGTCATTTTTGCAATATTTCAAAGGTTTTAATTACCAATATTGGTTATGGTGATTTGTGATCAGTGAGCTTTGATATTACTGTTGTAATTGTTTAAGGTGCCCATATACGAGGGCAAAATTAATCAATAAATTGTATGTGTGTCATGGCTGCTCCACTGACTGTGTCCCCATTTCTCTTCCTCTTCTTGGGCCTCCCTATTCCCTGAGACACAACAATATTGAAATTAGGCCAATTAACCCTACAATGGTCTCTAAGTGTTCAAGTGAAAGGAAGAGTTCCATGTCTTTGAATTTAAATTAGAAGCTAGAAATGAGTAAGCTTAAAGAGGAAGGCATGTCTAAAGCTGATGATGGATCACTAAATTTGATACATTTGATGTATCTGGGCAAGGTAAATTGAAAACCTTCCAGAAAGGATTCACCAGTCTAGATGCCATTAAGAACATTCATGGTTCATTGAAAAAGGTCAAAACATCAACATTAACAGTAATTTGGAAGAGGTTGATTTAACCCTCATGGATGACTTTGAGGAGTCTAAGACTTCAGTGGAGGAAGTCACTGCAGACGTGATAGAAGTAGAAAGATAACTAGCAATAGAAGTGGAGCCTGAAGATGTGACTGAATCACTGCTATCTCATGATAAAACATCAATGGACAAGGAGTCACTTCTTATGGATGAGCGAAGAAACTAGTTTCTTGAGGTGGAATTTCTTCCTGGTGAAGATGCTGTGAAGATTGGTAACATGACAGAAAAGGATTTAGAACATTACATGAACTTAGTTGATAAAGCAATAGCAGGGTTAGAGAGAATTGACTGTAATATTGAAAGAAGACCGGGGCCAGCCCCATGGCACAACGGTTAAGTTCACATGTTCAGCTTTAGTGGCCCAGGGGTTCACCAGTTCAGATCCCGGGTGCGGACAAGGGACCGCTTGGCAAAAGCCATGCCGTGGTAGGCGTCCCACATATAAAGTAGAGGAAGATGGTCATGGATGTTAGCCCAGGGCCAGTCTTCCTCAGCAAAAAGAGGAGGATTGGCAGTAGTTAGCTCAGGGCTAATCTTCTTCAAAAAAAGAAAGAAAGAAAGAAAGAAAGAAAGAAAGAAAGAAAGAAAGAAAGAAAGAAAGAAAGAAAAAAGACCTACTGTGTGTAAAATGCTATCAAACAGCATCACATTCCACAGATAAATTGTTCATGAAAGGAATCTTCAAACAATGTGGTAAACTTCATCATTGTCTTAAGAAATTGCCACAGTTATCCCAACCTTCAGCAACCACCACCCTGATCAGTCAGCAGCCATCAACATTGAGGCAAGACCCTCCATCTAGAAAAAGATTACAACTCACCGAAGGCTCAGATGGCTGATATTCTTAAGCAATAAAGTTTTCTGTGCGTGAGGAAGATTGGCCCTGAACTAACACATGTTGCCAATCTTCCTCTATTTTATGTGGGATGCTGTTGCAGCATGGGTTGACAAGCTGTGCTAGGTCTGCGCCAGGGACAAGAACCTGCAATCCCTGGGCTGCCAAAGGGCAGTGCACAAACTTAACTACCATGCCACCAGGTGGGCCTCAATAAAGTATTTTTTAATTAAGGTATGCACACTGGTTTTTTTAGGCAGAATGCTACTGCATGCTTAAAAGACTATAGTACAGTGTAAATATAACTTTTATATGCCCTGGGAATCCAAGAAAATCATATGACTTGCTTTATTGCAATATGTGCATTATTTCTGTGTTTTGGAACTGAACCTACAATGTCTCTGAGGTATGCCTGTGCATTCAGACCATGAAATAAAAATAGAAGATCAAAACCACCAAGGGAAGCAAAAGAAAATAGGCCTATGATTATCTAACAAGAAGCACAGGGTAAATTTTTATGCTCAGGTAGGAACAAAAATGGAGTGGAATTCATAGTATTCATTAACTGATGAAATGAAGCAAACCAAATTTTCAAATAGGAAGAAGTTTTCCCACTGTAAAATTAGAAATGGACTTCAATGCATGAGTCCTTTAGGAGAACAGTGAAGTAACAGCGTGGACATTGCCTTTAAAATCCATTTCATAAAATGGAAGAAATAGTCTTTCAGCAAACCTGTTTTATACCACCACTGCATCAATACTATAGGCATCGTAACATTGCATGTCATTCACAGATGGTGACATTCAGCAGACACGGTCAGGCAGGTAACATTTAGTGATCTAATGTGACAATAGCAGGATTTGAGGACAGGCCTCCTGCCATCTCTCTAGTCCTTCTGCCTTGAAGGCCCACGGCCAGGAGTGTCAAGCTGAACTTTCTGCATAAGCTAGAAAGATATCAGCTTTAGTCTGAAATTTCTGGTGAAAACTTGGAATGCAAATAGATTGTGCTGTTGATTAGGGCAAAGAGCCATTTGTTTTCACAACACAAGTGAAGCAGTTCCATGCACTGACTGCATGTTATTAGGCTTTCGTCAATGATCCTTTGATTTTTCTTACACTGGGAATGCAGCAGATAAGACAAGACAATGGTTGCCTATTAATTGGGTGTGTGAAAGGCACGTTTCCTCTGATGATGGCTTTGTGAATTTCAGGTTATTGGAGCAAAGTGGAATGCAAACGAAGGAACAAGTCTTCACACTTAATTGCCACAATCTAATAGCAGCCCCAAAATACTGAGTCCCTATTAGTAAGGGAAAAGTTTGGTCCCATGAGATGAAGATGTCATGTTGAACCACACAATCATTACAAACAAAATGTTAATAATAATGATAACGATAATAATGATCATAATAATAGTTACAGTCTCTATTTGCTAGCATTTTTACTCTAATTGCTTTTCAAATCTTCATTTCCGTCTCACTTCAGCTCTGGCAGGGACATTGAATTGATTTACACTAACATCACCTTTTTCAAACAAATAAGGCACCAAAGTCTCTCATTTACCTGATTTATCAGCCACACAACTTGCTGTGAGCAAAATTCACGAGCACCATAACTGTGGTCTCTTCAGTCTCAGGCCACCATAGCTTCCTAGGATTTGAAGAACTCAGAGAAGCTAATTAGTCTAAAGTTTTCGATATGGGTTGATCACGGTGGAATTCTTATACAAAACTCCCCATTGATGGAAAAAAAATTGTCATCACAGGTAGGTATCAGAAGAATGGAATTTTTCCAGGTAATAGAAGGAAGGCAAGAAGCAATTAAATTGGAGGAACAGTTAAGAATGTTTAGACAAAGACAGGAATGTGATGGGGACAGGATGTAGAAATCTTAGGAGAGATTTTAAATCATTATGACAAAGAACAACATAGACAACATTGTGTGAATACTGTGATAGGATTTGGCTTTGTGTACAGGTGGACTTATATAAGGACTCAAGTATAACATATATAATTATCATGAAAATGTTTGGCCCACAGAAGAAGTTTATGATTACAGGTAAGTTTGTGAGTTGACACATTTCCTTTCTAACAGTGAGAAAGTCTTCTCAAAGAGTCTGGGCTTTGGGTTCAGGCTGACCTGGCTCCACCACTTACGTCCTGCTTATGTGAACTTGGCGATTATTCTCTGGCCTCAGTTTTCTAATCCGCAAAATGGGGTGACAGTATGTATCCAGCAGGGCTTGTATGAGAATCAAATGAAGTCATGTGTAAAGTGCTTGGCACATTGTCTAACACACCATACACGCTGGATACGTGTTCCCCCAATTCCAACGTGAAGGGAGAGCTGTACCCAGCGTGGAGAGTGTTTGCAGCCAACGACATTGTCGGAGCAACAACTTTCCAGAGGATTCAGCTGTACTTACAACTGCTCAAGTGGAAACTCATCTTACTGTCCACTCACACGCACAAAAATGAGTTTGGAGATATTTGCTTCTCTTTGGCAGCCTTTTCCCTCACTTGGCAAGGAAAATGTGATTAAAATGTCCTTATTTATTAATTTTGTCATTTTACTCTCTTTAAAACTTAATCCTTTATTTTAACCGATATCATCTCTAACGCCAACATTTATTGGCACCAAAATTTATAGCAAACGTGTTTGGATTTCATGCTCATATTTATCAGAAAAGCAGTTTAAATTCATACAGAACATGGTCAGATTTAAAATCAATTATAGCAGAAACTTGTCATAAACTTGCAATATATATTAAAATATGAAACGGCTATAATTATTTATTTGATGAAAGAAACATTACAGGAAGAAACTCAAGAACACTTTATCAATATCAGTATGTAGGTCTGAAATATCATAATTTCAATCTAAAATGTAGTTGACATTTGGTAAATTCATGTGTAATTCATACGATTGTATCTTAGTAAAATACAAACAACTCAGACAATTTCACTCAAATGTATTATGTGAATGTGCAAATGAATGCGTATTAATGAATTAGAGAGGTTTATTTACTTTTTTACCTGGTTTCTGTTCCTTGCATTGTGAAAAGGATTTTGACCATAGAATACACCATTAATACGTTTTAAAAAGACTGTTTAAAGAAAAAGTGGGTAGTATAATTACTTGAAATATAGGCACTGAACATATATACACAAGTACACTATTTAATGCTCAAATATTACGTTGAGAAAGTTATGGAAATTCAAGATTTATTTTATCCTGAAAAGAATGAAATTTAAAGAATCTAGCTAAGGAAAAGTGACAGGTGGTAAGAATAGTGTGTTATCATACAGAAATTTTTCAATTCATCATTTGATTTTCAATTTCGTCAGTATAATGAATCAGAAGTATTCCTATGAAGAAACATAAGTACCTAAGATGAAAATTAGATTTTCTAATATTCTGACTAAAGACTAAATTCTGTAAATAGAATGTAGGATTGAAAAATTAATCTTGTTTTACATAACATTCTTTTTAAACTAAAAACAAATATAAGGCTGGTGAAATAAAGTGTCTTATTATCATGATCAATAAAGCACCAATTACACTAAAAGCAAGATGTATAAAATTAAAATAAGCACATTTTGACCTAATTATATTTACAGCATGAGAAAAAACCCAACATCGTTTGCTTAGTCATTTACTGTAAAAGTCAGGAGCTTTGCTGAATAGGCAGAACTTCTCAAGAATTTTTGCTCTTTTCTTCTCAAATAAGACATCTAATTCTTCTTTTCTTAAGAAATTGCACATTGAATTATTTAACTCTAAATTAGTCCAAAGAGAATATTATTAAAGCATTTATGTGTCAATTGGAAATCAAATTGGAAAAAATTTTTAATATTTATAATTCCCATCATCAGATTAACAATAAATATATTATCAAATAACATTTCAGCATCCAAGTGACAGGGCTTTGTAAGCTATGATGCTTTGTTATATATTTTGACGCCATATCTGCGAGGGACTCTGGAACTGTAGCATTTAGCATTACACCAATTACATATATAATTTATTGAGCAGGTGATGATAAAGAAAATAGTGGAGCTCTAAAACAGTTCGTCAGCTTTTTCGGGTAGATACAAATTTCAGAGAAGACACTGAGATTCAAAAGATGGTGCATAATTCATCATGCTTAAACTTCAAATGAACGTTCAAAATAAAACAGTCTTTTGGTGGATATTTTGTAAAGTGAAACAAAATTCTGAGCGCATTTACTTAATAAAAATAGCATAACAGCATTTCTGAAAATAACCAATACATTTTTTAATATAAGTTTTGGAAATATTGCTATTTTGTCTCTAAATTCAAGGCATTGTAAATAATTTGGAAGTCCAGTGTCAATGCAACCGTACTTAAAAACCTGGGGTGGTTCAGACGTGAAACCGAGATGATACGTAAAATTAGACATCAATTAGGAGAACTGCATTACCTCAGAACTGGGCATGGGACCCACATTGAAAGCAAAAGAATGACTAGATTGTCAAGTACACGTGGAAATTGATTCCCATTAACAAGTGACTGTGCGTTGTTTTAGAAAAATTAAAAACTTCCTCCTGCAATTTATTTATACGGCAAATAAGAGATACATGGTGTATTCCAAAAGTGGTTAAATGAATAGTGAGGTTTCACGGAGTTGCAGAAAATGAGAATGTGCTATTTGGTGAAAGAGAGTACAAATTACAGAATTCACAAGACAGGAAAGGGACGTACTTTAGAAATGATCAAATATTCTCATGCGTTGAGACATCATCAAAGTTACCTGGTCTCCTCCCCCATGCCCACCACCTACCCACCCACCTTGAAAGCATGTTCCAGTATGGTAGAACAAAAGAGATTTTAAAAAATATTTGTGTTCATGAATGTTAGGTGCATTGAAATGGAGTCATACCCCATTTTAGCATGTGGAGAAAGAACAAAGGCCAAGCTGTAATAACCCCTGGAACCTCTTTTCCCATGGAAAATAAGAACAATAAATACCTCACAATCTGTGGTGGAAGAAAGGCCATGGTGAGCACTAATTCAATGACCGCTTTTTTCCTTTCATCATGTGCTAGGTTGTTGCAAACTACAGGATCTTTGTGCTTCTCCAATGATTATTTGCTGTTCCATTTTCCCCCACAGATGCACGCCTTCCTGCAGACATTTCTCCCAAGCCCACCATTTTTCTTCCTTCAATTGCTGAAATAAACTTCCATAAGGCTGGAACATATCTTTGTCTTCTTCAGAAATTCTTCCCCGAGGTTATTAAGGTATTTTGGAAGGAAAAGAATGGCAATACAATCCTGCCATCCCAGCAGGGAAATACCATGAAGACTGATAACACTTACATGAAATTCAGCTGGCTGACCGTGACTGGAAAGTCAATGGATAAAGAACATAAATGCATCGTCCAACACGAGAATAATAAAGGAGGGGTTGACCAAGAGATTCTTTTTCCATCAGTGAATGAAGGTATGTGTATTTAAATATAATCTCCCAGAACATTTTTTTCAAAGGGATACCCCACCTTTTCTGTCAAGTCTTAATGCAAAACATATATAATATATATATATATATATATTTCTTAAATGTTGTTCTATTTATTGCTAATGTAAATGTTCCTTTCTTTCCCCATAGAATTAAAATAGTATATGCTTTGGAATATAAAAATGAGAAAGAAAAAGAAAAATTTACTTAACCTTTCTCAGCCTGAGATTCATCATCTAAAGCGTTAAGGTCACAGTGATGTATTTTAGGGTAGTCGTATGCATTAAATGAAACAAGATAAGTCAAAACAGCTAGGAAACAGCACCAAAGAAATGCTCCAAAAGATAATCCCCTTTTGGTGATCGGTAAATAAGAACAATTATATGTCTTTCAGGAATGTTCTATTAAGCAAGCGAAGTCATTCTTACTTTCATCTTGCAATACTCGGAGTACAACCCCAAAGCAACGCTAATAGTTCTCGAAACAGTGTTCATTTGAGGGAGCTAACCACAGTTCAACAAAAAAACAGGATAAATTGGGCACTTCCATTGTTTTGTGATCTGAGGTTTTCCAGATTTGTATTTTATATACCACTGTAAGGCAAAATTTTATAATTAGAGATTGGGAGAGGCGAATGTGTACACACATACTTCCATTCTACATAATGAATCTATTTTTTGCCATTGGTAAATCTAGCCCAAGAAATATTTATTGCAGAACTGGCCTGTGCCAGGCCTGGAAGGGATGTGTGGATGAGGACATTGGGATAAATTACTGTCCCAAGGAGGATGTATTGTTGTAAGAGAATACATTCTTTTCCTAATCTCTCAGGTCCCTCGTGATTCAAGCATGGTGTCCCCAAGGAGTCCCTTTGATGCAGATTCTGCACATATTTAGACAGTGGCAGACGACTGAATGTGCCTTGGTCCCAGCAGTGGTCCAGTAACTCTCTAGTCTCGGGACTTGAAGTCCTGAGTATGAATACAGCAGACCAAAGGCCCCAGAGCACCTGTGAATAGGAAGGAATCGGTTTGTACTCTTCCCTGTGGGTAACAAGCCCTTTTGAAGCCGTGGGGCACAAGCACAGAAGAAAATGTACAAAGACCTCTGCTGTGCACCAGCACAAATTTCTGAAGTCAGTCTTTATCTTCTCGGATCCTTAGTTTCATCAGTGAATAAATTAGGCTCCAACACTCGCCTTGGCTTTCTCCCGGGGCTGTGATGAAGAGCAAATGAAATAATGTCAGCGAAAATACTTACTTTTAAAACTATAACATGAATGTATTTCTCTAAGTATTTATTGTATTTTTTAATATCCTTTCCTAAAGCTCAATAATGTAATATTGAAACAACTGCTCTCATTTACTATTTCTACAGCTAAGAAACAGAGGAGCAGCAATATGGGCAAAGCAAAGCTTTAATATAACCACTGAAGTGAGGTGACCTATTAGCTTTTGATTTTTCTAGAGATCATGGAAAAATGAGAAGTACAGTAAGTCCCACGGTGATGATCATCATAGAGAAGTTCCAGTTCATCATGTGTTTTACTTGGTACCTAATTTCTGAAACAAAAGACTCCCATGGGCTTCTCAGGGCAACAAAGCTGATGAAGACATTTCTGTTAATGCCATTCTACAGCAAATTTCTAATGCTGTTTCTTGGAAATTTCTAGTTTCAATAAAAGCTAAGAATATAACTTCGAAGCACAAATCAATGAAGTAATTTTGAAGAAGATAAAACTAGTGTTTTTAACCGACCTTGGTTGAGAAAGAGTTTAGGATACGTACACGGATTTTTTTATGAAAAATGTTTCTTTTCTCATTATTACCTCATTGATTCATGATAATGGAGTTTTATTTATCTTTTAATAAATAAATCACTGTTATGGAAAAGAAATAAATTTAAGATACATCAAAGTCAGTTTTTGAAGATATTTTAACATCTAAACATGATTATGCTGTTTCATTCTTGGAATTTTTTCCAAATCTTATTGGTTCAAACCCAGTTTTAGAGCCACCAACAAAAGAACTCATTGTGTGCAATAAATTGCCTACCAGAACCTTATCTATATGGACAAGAACACATCTTTTAGAAAAAGGATTAACTAAAACAATGGTTTCGACTGTTTTCCTCCATCCAAGAGTCAATTATCTTTAAAAATTTTTTATCTTTGTATGTTTTCCTTCTTTTATTTTTTACAGTGGAGATAAATCTCACTCCAGATTGTATAGATTCAGAGAAGTATAATTGTGTCTTGGCCTACCTTTCTATCTTTGGAAAGAATTGCACTGAAATGCTGAGCTCTTGTAATAGAAAGTTCATTTGCTGGGAATATTTAACATATTTGGAACAGAAAATGTTTTTAGTGTCCACAATGGTGAAATTATGTCGTTTCTCTATAGATTATTTTCCATTTCTATGGGTTATTTTTACGAAGTACATTCCACATGCTCTATCTCACTGAATCCGCCACAACGATCGTTTGAATGCTGGCTCTGCCCTCGCTGGTATGACTCCCAGCAAGTTCCTTATTCTTCCAGCCTTATTCCTCCTTTGTAACAAGGAGTCTTCCAAAACACAACCAACATCAGTGTCACTGTAGCACTAAATGAGATAACACGTGTGAAGCATTTAATAGTGCCTGCCACAGTAATAATCACTCGATAGCCATTAGCTTTTGCTCATATTGTTGCCACGTCCACAAACACCACAACTCCAGAGAATCAGGTGCATGAGTTGAGGATCTGGGAATATGCATGCTCTGGAAAGGTCTGCATGCTTCTGTTGCTTTGATGGGAAATTTTCCTAAACCAGATTCTTTCAAGCGTGAGATTCTGTTGTGGAGTCTAAGAGTTGATGAGTGGATTTTGGTAGCAACTCTTCATGTCAACAGCATGTGCTGAAGACTATAGAGAAGCCATATTCCGGTTATTTTTCCATTCGACAAGTCCTTCTCCAACACCTCCTTTGAGGCAGGCATTGAGTGGGAGCTATGAATACAGAAGGAAAACAAGATAGTCTTGGATATTATCGTCAGGTTGTGATAAAGAAGAAAAAAATGTATTCTTCATGAAGGTCAACATCTTCCTATGCAGAAGCACAATATATGAATTAGATGTGCTTTACTGCATAGAATGAGAGAAACTATGCCCGGATTTGTAGGGCCCATATTTTTAAGGACAGTCTTTCTGTCAGCGAAGTATATGTGCGTGTATGTGTGGTTGTACATTCACGTGTACACATATAAACACATACAACACACCCTCCAATAATGGACCTGAATAATTGACTAGTTCTTGCTCTCATTTCTTCCAGTTGACGTTGCTCCTGATTCTCCAACAGCTTCCCCAACAGAGCAAAGTAGTAAGTTTGCATATATGCTTGCCTTCACATCATGCTGTAGCATTTCCTTTCCTCCTGATCAAATTACATTTTGAACTTCCCTGATTTGTAGTAGACAAGACTAATTATTCCTGGAATTGTAGGGTTCATATTTTTAATGAGTATCTCCCCCGTGTCTTTTAGTAGATTTTATGTCGGTGTGTATACACACACACATACATCTGCATATATATCACATGTAAAATAATAGGCGTGAGCAATTGACTAACACTTGCTCTCATTTCTTCTAGACGTCACTGCTGTTACTTCTAGAAGAGCTTGTCTGAAAGATGAAAGTAAGTTTTTGTACATCTTTGCCTTTATGTCATGTGACAGCATTTTTTTCCTCTGGCTAGACGTCACTTTTGTAATTTCTTGGTTCAAGGAAGAAACAGTAGAATGGTGGGATGATGCAGAATAGATTGAGTGATATTTTAAATCAATCCATCATTTCCTAGGTGTCTTCTTTACACAGTAAATATTGGTTTAGGGATGAGACGACTATAAATTAAAGGGTGCAGTGATAGGCGCTGAATTATTTCCACAATGGATTTAATTCATTTGTGCAGCTTTTATTTCTGAGAAATGAGGAATATGTGATATCAGGGTGCTTCAAGATTTTTTTTTTAAGTCTTTGGTCCTTGCAAGTAGCTAATGACATTAGGTGACATGTACTGAGATCTTCCTCTACAGAAGGCATTATGGTGGGTTTGGCATGCATTTTCTTGTTTAATGCTTATCATACTCCTGTGAAGTGGTACAATAATTTTTTTCCCATTTCACAGATGAAAGCAAAGACCCAAAATTAATTGAGTCTGTGGCACCATGCCACGCAGCTGGAGCTGGGGTTTCAACACGGCCCTTTGAATCAAGAGTTCATACACTTACTCAGTTCTCTCTTCTTCCTCTAAGATATAGTTCTAGAGCAATAAACCCCCAAGTCAAGGCCCTGAGACGTGATGGACACATGGTGGGGGTTGGGTAAGGGCATGGCTTTTGCTGTCTCACAGGCTGGACTTGAACCCCAGTTGTTTTAATGGTTAGTTGCATCAATATAGGAAAATTAATTACATTTTCTGAGCGACACTTTCCTTGTCTGCCAACCAGAATTAATTACAACTGGCTTAGTTATTGAAGGGATAAGTTCACCTATGTGGAAGATCTAGGATTGGGTTTCTCATTTAGCCAGCACAGTCCTTGTCTTGGGCCCTTTCTCCTTATATGTGTACAAGGAAAGTGACTAGAATCACCAGTCACTGGTGCTCTAGCCCTGCTGATCTTTCCTCCATTTCCAAAATCAAGGGGGCTCTGGGCCTCAGCTAACACCTACCTGACTAAGGGCAAGGAGTTATGAGCACATCTCCTCTGAGATCCCTTTCCACAACAAGTGCTAATGATTCTGGTGTTCTGATTCTTGAAGATAAAACATGTGAAAGGGGAATTTCCACAGGAAGAGATTCGGCCTTGTTCATTGAATAGTCAGTCTGGCTCACCACCATTGTCATTACTTACTTCTTGACGTCATATATTTCTTGCCAAACTTCGAAGGATATTAAGTGCAATTATCCTATGCCACAATGAGAGACATTTAGGAAGGACAGGTGAGTGAGCCATGATCTCCTAAAGTTTTGGAGAATTTGGATTAACCACTCTCTTCTGCTTTATATAATACTAATTACATATAAACAATTGTATGATGTTCTAAATGAATTTAGAAAAGGTTGTTGATTGACATGACCTGGTGAGTGGCTCCTCAGTTGCCTTGTTGTTGTCTGTGGTGGTTATGTTGGTAGGTAGACGTTTACTTTTGGGTTCTGGTGGTGCAGGGTATGACTACAAGGTAGGCCATTTGAAATAAATAACTGTCACCAGCCTCCCATTAATATGACCTCTCTTTCAAAAGAACAGGCGAAACTAATCATCTGACTTCTCTTAGACCCCCTGCAGCTCACCAGCACCTTGGCCTATTACAGCTACCTCCTGCTCCTCCTCGTGAGCGCAGTCTACTTTGTCATCATCACCATCTGTCTGTGCAGGAGAACAGCCGTCTCTGGCAATGGAAAGAATTCATAACAGATGGGGGGACAAAGAAGTCAACTTTTGTTCATCATTTATTGTCCCTAGAAGTGTCTACTGCGAATCTACCTTGGCTTTCTCTCTGGGTTTGGGTTATTCCAGTTCAAAAGTGTGCTTTGCTGTTATGCCATTATTGTGTAATGGTTTTTCAAAACGCTGGGCAAATAGAAATTTTTTTCTATAACAGCAATGAACTCTGCCATTACTCAGGGGCAGGGCCATGGGGTCGTCCTTTAGCACCACTCTCTCCATGACCTCCATCAGCTCCTCCAGCAAACTGAATGACCATGCCTTCTGAGTACAGACAACATGCAACTCTACTCACATCCCTTAGGGCCATTTAACCAGATGACCACCTTGGAGCCTTCCATTTTACACACGCAGAAGTCACCATCATTGTCACTTGAATTCTATACTTCGTTTTTCATAATGGGCACAATAAAAAAAAGGAAAACTCTACATTTGTCTCTGTCTACTTTAATTTGATGCAATCTAACTGAAAGTCTGGGGTAAGAAGCAACATGACACCTGAACCATCAAATCCAGCATTGGGTGTGATGATGGTCAATACCACAGTTCCAATTCTTTCCTAGATGGTGGTCATGACACTTTCTTTGGGGCACTGGCTCCAAGAGGAGCCACAGTCAAATGAAGGCACCGAGGTCACTTCTCTTTCAAAGGCCATCAGATTCACATTTATTTGGTTTGGGACATTCTCATGGTGTCAGTAGAACATCTAGCATGACTTGCACTGTGTGTGCTCAGCTCTACACTAATGTTTCACAAGCACCGTGTTTCCTGCTCCTCACAATAACCACATGAGACCTGCACTCACACCAAGAGGCATCGCAGTGGAGGGATTAAGCCCCTGCACTCTGAACCCAGAGTGTCTGGGTTTGAATCCTTGGTCTAGTATGAGAATCTGTGTGACCTCAGCCAAACTATTTGAACTCTCTGTGCCATAATTTCCTGCATGTGCCCCATCTCCTGGAGTTGTGTGGATTAAGTGAGTTAATAACGCCTCGTACTCGCCAGTCCTCAACAACATTACCAACCACTGTCGGCAGTTCTACTTTTGAATAGAGGATACTACACAACACAGAAACACTGATAGTCATTTGTAATCTTATTTCCCCACAGAGAGGTTAGCTGTGGGCAGAATAGAGACTCTGCATTTTTACTGTGTACCAGGAAATCTCGTTAATCCTCAAAGAGCCCCCTGAAGTAGGTACAATTATAATCCACAGTGTAGATATTGGAGAAATTAATTTCTCTGCTCAAGGTCACTATTTTGTAAGTAATAGTCATTTAAAGCCAGGTCTCTCTGAACTCAGAGCCAGTATTTCATACCTATTATCAGTTGGCTTTCCCTTCAACCACTGTCAACTGGGAAAAACAAAACAAAACAAAACATGCACTGTTTCTTTACAAAAAGCATCCTCCAAGGAGTCAGTGAGAATTTTTTTAGGGATTTGCGGGAACATCTTTGTTTTTTACTCATGTTTATATGCTGTTATTACAATAATTGCTACCTTTGTTGTCAGCATTAAGGAAATCCTACTTTATTCTGTGAGTGTGTGTCCTAGATTTGCAACTGCTTTTTTGGGGGCTGCTAATGAAATGGACTGAGAGTCTTGGACAGAGCAGGCCCATTGCTGGTGCTCTCTGGGTGTACCCTTCTGACACCCCGCCTCCTCCCCTAGACTGGATGGGCTCAGAGGAACTCACGATCACCTGTGGAAGCCTCTGGTAGGTGCAAGTGAATTTCTGAGGTTGGAGGTTGGTTATACATCCTTTTTGGTCCAGTAATTTTCCACAACAGTATGAACACCACATGGTGTGTTGGAAGAAACACTTGCCCAGAGTTCACACCTCACACTCCATAGTTAGAGCCTCAGTACCTATGTCTGGCTCTAACTAGCTGTGTCACTTATTCTTGACCAAGTCACATTGCTTAAATTTACCCAGCTTTAGAAGAATGTGTTCAAATTAAATAATTTCAGGTTTCTAGTGCTATTTACAAATTCAATTATTAACATCCTAATGAAGTAATAATAGCAAATTCTGGTATGGTGCTTACTGGTACTGGTCTAAGTACACATTAACTGACTTAACTCTCACAAGAAACCTTTGAGATATATACAGTTATCTCTGTTTTATAGATGGGGAATCAGGCAGATAGGGGATAAAGAATGTCCCCATAGTTAGCCAGCTGAGAAACAGAGCTGGGATTTGAACCGAAGCAGCCCGGCTGCAGGAGTGCTGCTCATAACTTCTCCATTAGATGCTACTAGAGTAGAAATAGGTAACTTTGAGTTACAGTTAAAGCAGGAACATTTCCTTCTTTATTAGGCTAAGAGCTGGTGACGAGAACTGCCAAGTAAACCTGTCCACACTTCCCCTCCTTGCTCCTATGTTGTTCCTACAATTCAAGGGTCACGGTCAACAGGCCACACAATTTCTATGCTGGGAAGACTTTTATACGCAGACCTCCACCCACCCATAGGACTTCTGTGATTAAAGTCCAGGCACTGTGTTGGATAAAATGAATACCAGAACAACAGGATGCATCCACAGGTGTGCAATGGAAAACTAGGCAAAGATTTACACAATTCCACATAAAAACACTCGCGTCTCAATATCTTTATAGAGTCTCCATACACTTCTCAGCTGTAACAAAGGGAAACCTCAAGGAAGCAATTCTGAAAATTTCCCCATTACAACTTCTCCCTACTGTTTGGAATATTTTTCTTCAAAGACTTCAATTTTTGAAGGCTGCTGTCAATCAAGCAGGTCACAATTGAGTAATATTTGATGTTCCCTTTCATATCACTCAAGGTTCCATACAACTGCAAATTTGAAAATGTAAGTAACAAGAGATAAAGAGAGATGCTATACAAACATGCACCATTCACACACAGGCCAGAAACTTAACATTTTCATTAGCCGTGAAATCTTATATGGGTAAATTCATGGACTCTGTCATGTTCTGTTATTCTATTTTTTGTTTGCTTGCTGTCTTTTGTTTTGTTTGAATAAAGCAAGTACCTACCACTTAGTGAGCATCGAGAATTCTGCTGGGCAGTTGGCATGCTTTATGTCTAATGTTCTCACTGTACCACACATGAGTATCATGCTCATCTCACTGATGAGAAGACTAGGTCCCAGAGAAGCTAAGAGATATGCCTGAGATTAAACATGGAGTAATGCCCGAGTCCACATGACTCCAGGTCTGCCTGACTCAAGACCTCCTTCTCTATCCATTATTCTAGTGGCTCTCCTCCTGGGAGCCCTTAAAAACCACTGAGGCCCCGCCTTCCTCAAAGGCCATGCAGAGGACTTTTAAAAAAACCTCCGTCAGTAATTCTCATGTGCATTGGGGTGGAGGCCAGCAAGTGACTGAAAGAGCTCCTGAGCTCCAGCGCTGCTGTCCCAGATCACATGCAGTGAGGAGCCGTCACAGAGTCCATCACACAAGGGAAAATGTGCTGCAGCCAGGAAAGTGTTCTCACCATTCCTCCCATAGATTTCCTAAGGAAACGAAAGGTATGAACTAAGATTTATGTGCAAGGATGTTCACTCAGTGTGGCACCATTTATAGCAGCTCCAAATTAAGCCAAATGCCTACAATAATGCCCAATAAGAAACTAAAAAATAAACTAAAAGATGTCGTATTGTCTACTATGCATCTTCAAAAGATGTAGATTGTTTAAAGAAATGTAAAATTAATCACAAAGTGTCAAAAAAATATTACGTATAGCATGACCCTATACAAATTATTAGAAAATATCGTAACATAGTTCAAAAATCAAAACACTCTAAGGGCCGACCCACTTGTGCAGTGGTTAGGTTCGCACGTTCTGCTTCGGTGGCCTGGGGTTCACTGGTTTGGTGCAGACACGGCACCGCTTGGCAAGCCATGCTGTGGTAGCCGTCCCACGTATAGAAGAAGATGGGCAAGAATGTTAGCTCAAGGCCGGTCTTCCTCAGCAAAAAGAGGAGGATTGGCAGCAGATGTTAGCTCAGGGCTAATCTTCCTCAAAAAAAATAATTAATTACTTAATTAATTTAAAAATTTAAAAGAAAATCGAAACACTCTAAAAAATGCATCTAGAGATCTTGCTTCAACCGCTGTCTCTCCCTCTCCCAATTCTTATAGGTAATACTTTTGTTTCTGTACATCCTTCTGGTTTTTATTTATGGAAATATGAATGTATATGTAACATATATACACATGGATATACATATGCATATTCTCATTTCTTCTCTTCCTACATAGAAGTAGTATATGATATACATTATTCTGCACTTGTCTTTTCCCTTAAAAGTTCTAGAGCTCTTTTGATGTCAGTGAAGAGTGATGGACAGATGGCTGCATGATATTTCACTGGTGAATGGACAATACTTTATTAAATCAGTTCCCTATGATAGCCCATTGGCTCATTTTCAATCTTCTGCTACTGTAAGAAATGCTGGAACTATAACAGCATTTCCTATCATTTTGAATGTGTGCATTGGTCATTTTGGTAGGTATTGCCAAATCAACCAAGATGTAAAGAGAGCATTGTGTTGTACTTCTATCGAAGTGTGAGTGAATGCCAAGAGAGTGCCTCAGGACTTTCTAGTCTACAGGTGAAAAATAGACTCATTGCAGTTTTAATTTTTTCCTCTTACTATGAGTGACAAGAAGCATCTTTTCTTATACCAGCAGTCTAAATTTCTTTTTCTGTGAAATATTTTTCATGTCGTTTGGCCATTTTTTCCATTAAGTAACAATACCAACATGTATGACACTCATTTATATGTGTCTCTGCATTTCTACAGGCATATTCATAAAACAACATGTTCAATGTATGGTAGGAAGGTGCAAAAGTGATAAGAGATTCTATATTTTCCTGTTTTCTCTGCAAACACTTTTAAAGCAAAAACTTATTTATATTAAAATTGAAACATCTCAATTAAAATTTGGAAAAATTGTTATTGATTCTTTACAATCAGCTTCAGTTTCTGTGAAACACCTTCTTTTGAAAGCCGAGTAGAAGTTCCCATTGGGAAACAAAGTAAGACTCACATGATACAAGAAAGATTAAATTTAATTAGATCTACTCCTTGATTCTCATGAATCTGATCAGATTCTCTAGGCCCAATCCCTGGCCCTCTCCTTAGAGACCTGGAACTATATCTACTTTGGGAAAGAGTAGAAGCAAACAAGGGAAACTTGCAAATCACTGAAAGCTTTGTGCAGCTGATGTCACTGCCAGGCACTACTAGGCAGCGTCTCCTGTGGCTTCCAACTTCTGAGCAACTTCCTCCTGCACTGGGCCTGGGCTGCCCTGAACGAGGCGGCACAGAGAGGGAGAGCACAGGTGGTGGAGGTGACAGCCTGGGTGGCGGGAGGGGGCTAGTGTGGCTGCTGGTGTGTTACTTTCTCAGCTTTCTTTTATGCACATGCTCTGTCA